GGGCGGCGGGGATGGAGGGTCTGGGGGTGAGGGCGGCCGGCGCCAGAGCCGCTGAGGCTGTGCGGAAGGGCCTGGGGGGCTGAGGAGGAGAGCGAACCCGACCGAGGTATGGCGTGTGGGGGTGAGCAGGATGGAAGGAGGCTGGGGGGGCGCTGAGCGGGGCTGGGGTGCGGCGTCGGGGCCTGAGAGGGGGTGGGGAGGCGGCGGTAGAGGAACGAGGCTGAAGAGCTGCAAAGGGCTTGGGGGGAGAATGCAGGGAAGGAGATGGGAAATAGGGTGCAAATGGGTGGCGTGAGGGAAAGGTTGGATCAACATAGGCCTCTGGACCCTTGGAGAGCCACTGACGTCAGCACATTTAAAGGTATGACAGGTTTTTTCCTCTGGGTTTTGCCTGGTACTGGCTCTCCTGACCTTGGAATCCTGACTCGTGGCCTGTCTTTAGCTCCAGCTTGATTCTATCAGGCATGCTGCCCTTCTCCTTCCCCTTGCTCCCCTGCTAAATGTGCTTGATCCCCTTGTTATCTATCACCCTCTACTGTTACAAGGAGGGGGGAAAAAAACAGCCTTTGATTCATAGATGAGCATAAAACTTAAACCAGCTCCTTTTATCTTTTGCATGCTTGCAGATCAGCCAAAGCTTTAATGCCAGTTTGAGGTCTCTTCTGCCTCGTGGGGTGGTGTTGTGCGTAGGTGTGTCAGGTGGAAAATGATGGGGTTTGCTGGCTCAGCTGATGGTGTTTGGGAAGGGGAAATGGAAAGCTTTTGCCTGTGTTACTCTACCAACATGGGTTTGTCATGCAGACAGCTGAACACACAAACTTTCAGTGGAGAGACTGCTGCTGTGCTGCTGGTCAAAGTACCACCTCCTCCATGCTGCTGGGTGACAGAGGTGAGTACAGGAAGGTAGAAATAGCAACTCAGGCTCAGGTTTCTCAGTCTTGTAACAGCCACTCCTGTCTCATCTCCCAAGGGCCAGTGTTAAATTACTGCAAACTCTGTCCTGTAGAAAGCCATGTGATCCTGAAAAGAATTATCCCAGAACCTGAGTTCATCTGTGTTTCTTGGCGGTGGGGAGGTGTATGTTTGTTTGTTTGTCTTTTCCTCCCAGGGGAAAAAACCATTTCTGTTCTAGTTGCTGACTTGGGAGCAAGCTTCTTTTTGAGTGGAAATAGGTTTGCCCAAAGCAATGATTCTATAAAAGGATTCTATAGAAATGATTCTATGATTTTACAAAGCAATGATGAGCGAATTACACTGAACTGGTATTGCTGAGACTTTGTGTCTTTGCTCTGACCAGGGCATGACCACGTAATCTTCTCTCTGAGCTTATTTAGGCTAAACTCATCTAGAGTAAACAGCTTTGCTGCTTCTTGAAACTTTTTGATGCACCCTAAAAATTAATGAAAAAATACTGTGAATTTTTAGCAATGTGTTTTACTGGCAGAAAACCAAACCCTCGATTTGAAAAGCGAGTCGTGCAAATACGCGTTTGGGTTTGTGTATCTTGCTGCCACTTAGCAGCAAACTTAGGTTTAGTACTGAGCTTACAGTGAGACGGGTTTCCTGGTTTTTCTCCTATGCATGACATGGCTTACAAAACTCCTTATACTCTGTCACTTAATCTTCTCTGTTTGTAAATGCAATGCAGACTCCGTAAAGTGGAGTGGAGATCTCCGTAAGATCCAGCACCCCAACATCGTGCGCATCTTCGAGGTCACGGAGAGCTGCAACAGGAAGGTCTGCATCGTGATGGAGGTAGCAGCCACTGACCTGCGGCAACTGGGGAAGCTGCTCTGTGTCCCCAAGGCCTGGGACATCTTTGCACAGGTCGTAGGGGCTGTGCACTACCTGCATGACCGCAGCTTCGTGCACCAGGACCTCAAGTGTGAGAACATGCTGCTCACTGCCGACGGCTGCCAGGCCAAACTCGGTGATTTTGGCTTTAGCAAGGAGGTCAACGGCTACCCTGAGCTAAGCACCACATGCTGCAGGACAGCAGCCACAAGTCCTCTGAGGTGCTGATGGGCATCCCCTAAGACACCAAGAAGTTCGATATGTGGAGCCTTGGGGTGATACTCTATGGGATGGCAACCAGCTGCATGCCCTTTGATGGCACCTGCATCCTTCGCATGGTCCAGCAACAGAAGAAAGGGGTGCAGTACCCAGAGGGGCTGCCCCCACTGCCGGAGCCCTGCCAAGCCCTCATCGCCCAACTCCTCCAGTTCAACCCGGCCTCCTGGCCCAGCGTGGAGCAGGTGGCCAGGAACAGCTGGCTGAAGGGGGATATCTGAATGAGGAAAATCTCCCCAGAGATCCCGGGAGAGCAGTAATGGTTCAGTGCAATCAGTGCTGTAGAGAAAGAGCGTTTCTGTGGTTTATTCATCATTTTGAGCCCCAGGGTGCCTATATGTGGAGCTGATTGAACTTCAAGCACCAGCAAGACTGCGTGCTCTCAGAAGGTGGTCAGATCCCTCCACAAAGATGAACAACTGAAAACACAGCTGTGTCTCATATTTGTATAATTCTATAGGATTTCTCTTTTTTTTTGTGATGAAAAAGTAGGTTTTTTTGTAATTACTCAACGTGCTTGCAGTTAGAAATACAGCGACTTGTATAAGGAAGTGTGGTCTCTTTCTTTTGACTGTAAAATTTTTTCTGTTGCTCTTTCGAAGTGCTCTCTTAAAAGGATGTCGTTGCCTGGAAATTGCCTGCTGGGATGGCTCCGACGATGAACCTGTTGTGGCTCATGGTCCTGCTTCAACAAGCAAAATTTCATTTTGTTCTGTAATTTGAGTGATAAACAAGTATGCATTTGTAGTATGTCTATACATATACTTCTATAGGTATGTAGGGGACAAAAGGAAGTCCAAGGAGTGCCTGTACATGTGTTTGCTCATGTGTCAGTGTCTGGGATTATGGTGCTTTATTTTCTTTTCTATTTTCTTCTTTTTCCTGGTGGTCAGAGCCCTGTCCCGGCCTGTGGAGCAGGAGAATATTTTACCATGCCAAGCAAAGAGAGGTGCGAGAGGTCGGTGACGCTGTGGTCGTATTCCCCTCTGCTGTGGTCACGGCTGCTCATGCAGCCCCTCGCACATATGTGTGATCCCCCCCAGTGCGTGTGTTGGCGTGCGCTGGCCATGCCAAGGCCACGGGTTAATCATCACTGGCCTCAAGTAACATTTTATTTTTAATGGTTTTGGGGAAGGAGAGAGAAACTAACCACAATATTGGGGCAGAAGGTGGCTGCACCTGCCAGGACCCTGGGGAATGAGTGGTCAGGCTGCCCCTTGGGGTGCTGGGGGCACCCACTGGTTCGGGGCACCCTTGAGGGGTGTGCTGGGTCCCTCTCCAGGGGGATCAGGGAGCCCCTCTGGGGGGATTTGAAACCCATCAGGGATCCTCGGGATGCGTGTTTGGGAGCCCATGAGTGTCTGTCAGGTTGGGGTGGCCGTTTGGGGTGCAGTGGGTGACCATCTGGGGTCTCTGGGAGAGACCCATTGGTGCCTCAGAGCCATCAGGGATTGATTCCCCTACCACGGGGCTCTGCATGGGTTGCTCCAGAGATTCACACGTTGCTGCTTGTGAGGGTGGGCCAATGCCAATGTCCTTGAGTCCTTTCCCCTTTCTCAGAGTGTAGGTCGCTGAGTTAAGGACTTTAGCCGGCTGTGTCCAAAGTCAGCTCCTTCACTAGAAAGGGCTGTTGTGAAAAAGGCTAGAAGTGAGGGCCTGCTCCTCCTTCCCCTGGAGAGCTGCTTTTAAGCTGCCCTTTACCACTGGTTACATGGCAGCTGTGCAGCAGCTTTGTTCCTCCAGTTCTGTCCGTCATGGCACCCGCTGACTTGGCCTCCAGGCTTGACCTCAGACCTTCCCTATCTCTGCAGACATGTCTGTGTCTGCAGCAAGCAGCAGACTGTCACTATCTCCAGACCAGAGTCTTATCCTGACTTTCTGCTGAGCATGCTGCACAAAGAGGTCCCTGCTGCCCAGGACCCTGCCGGGGCCTCTGGGGTGACAGGATGTGCAAAGGGAAACAGGGCACATAAGAAGACAGCGGAGGGCTAGTGGAACACCTCAGGGTGGTACAGAGGGCTCTGGCATGAAATGGAAAGCAAATGTAGCACACTGGGGTGCACTACGAAGAGAATGGAGGACTCTAGGTGGCACCAGAAGGCAAACAGAGGAGTCTGAGGTGTACAGGAGGGAAATCGGAGGCCTCCGAAGGTGCACCTTCTTTTGGGTGCACAAGAATGTAAATGGAGTGATTCTTAGGGGACAAGAGGACCAAATGGAAGCCTCTGCATTGCACCTGAGGGCAAGTAAATGTCGACACTCACATCCCACCCGTCCCTTCTGTGGGTGCTCAGTTTCTATGGGTTCTGTCATCAGATCCCTTCCAGTCCCTCTGTGCACCCCCAATTCCCCTCCATTTTCCCTCCATGCACACAGAGATCCCCTCCCTTCCCTCTCTGTGCGCACAGGGTCAAGCTTTCTGCTTTCCCCTCTGTACATGCTCAGATCCCCCTTGCTGCTCTGCCTTCGCCCAGTTTCGCTCTGTTCCTGGGCAGACACTCACTTTCCTCTGTAGGCATCCATCCTGCATGACCATTCTCTGTGCCCCAGAGACCACGGCTGTCTCAGCAGGCCTACAGAAACCTTCTAGCCAGTGTCTTTCAGCCAGGCCCATTCAGCTGCATCCTTGCAGATCAGGACTGTGGGCCACTGGGGAACAGAGACATCTCCTGCTTCCCACAGATGGAGATAACCTCTGCCACAACCCTCTGCCTAGTTGGAACTAGATGATCTTTGAGGTCCCTTCCAACCCTAACCATTCTATGATTCTATGATTCTATGATACAGTCCAGAAAACACCAGCCACTCCAAAGACTGTCCCACAGCAGTCAGTCTCTCTGGGAGTCTTGGAGCTGTTCTGACTTCCCCACCAAGAGCTAGGCTGAGCTTGTCAAAAGCACATTAAACAAGAACCAAATGACCTGGCAGCACTCTGCTGTACTGGTGGGAGGTGGGGACATCCCCACTGTTTGCTCTCCACACTGGTTAGTGACTGGCATTTAAGTGTTTATTTACTGAGCTGCACTCTTCAAAGCTCCCAAATATGCTGTTCCCAGGGGAAATTCTGTCCAAGGACCTAAGCACTCACAGAAGAGACCATTCCAAGGATTCTTGCTGGCATGGGGGTTATTTTCTTTGCAGTTCAGGAAGCTATGCACATATAACCACAGGCACCTTCATCTCAGCTTGCGTTTTCTAAGGGCACAAAGGAAACCCAGCCTGATTTCCTTCTCCAGAAGAAAGGAAGCTGGGAGGTGGGCGTAGGACCCACTCACCCCACCCACTGCAGAGGGCACTACAAATGCCTCTGTGAGAGCTGCTGCTCCACAGCTTTGCGCTCCAGAGGGCATTCCGGCTTCGACGCCATGGGTGAGTTATGGGGCTGGGAAGCGGAGCGCTCCTTGCGAGGAGCTCTGGTAGGGCAGCCTAGCAGTAGGGAGAGGCTCCGTGCACTAGTCCTTGCACACCGATGGGGAGCGACATCAGTGCCCTCTGAGGGCATGCTCACCTGCCACCCCTTTGAACATCAGCACCTTGTGTCCTGCTTTCTGGCTTATCCCAGCCAGTCCCCTGATTCAGGGGCCAGGAATGAAACTTGGCTTCGTTGGTTATTGGGTGCTTTGCTCTACCCAAAACTATCTCATGTATGACTTTTCAGGAGCTGGTCAAGGGGAAAAGGCAAGGTTCGCTGCCCCTTGGACAAAAGAGTTGAGGCCTTTTGGCAAGCTTTCCAGCTTGCACAAATCAGTCTCGTGCTGCCTAGCATGCTTGGTGCACTCCTGCATCTCACATGGTCGTGTTACACTGCACAGTGCTGGAGCCATGGGATTTCCCACCTCTCTGGAGGGAGGGTCACATTTCATCTTTTCTCCATCTTTTCCCTTTCTAGCAGCCCAGTGCCTTCTACTCCTTGCTTGCCTGCTGGTCTTGGCTGCCCCAGGGCACTCCATGCATATACAAACTCTAAACATCTTCAAGAAATCTCCCTCCAACACTTCGGCGAGTGCTCTGAAGAAAACCAGTATGTAGCATCCCGTGGGCATCGTAGTACTCTCACCAACTCCTTCCAGTTCCTTGGTCTGGGTCAGCCCTCGCTGGCAAACAGCCCCAGCCCATGCTCTGGGCCAGTGGAGGCTTGGAAAATGACACTTGGGAGAGGGTGTGCTCTGATGCCTCAGATCCACAAAACACCTCCATAGTGTATCTGTACACAGACGGGCTGGGGACAAGCGGCATCAACCCCAGGCTTTGCTCAGCTGGGGACAGGAGCTCTGCCCAGTTGGCAGGATGACCCTACCTGCAGTAGCAGGTCCTGCAGCAAGAGAGCTGGAAGCGTAGAGAGACCACACCTGCCAGCACAGCGGGGATCCAGTGCTGTGTGCTGATGTACAGCCAGCTCCGGGTGAGGAAGGGCCCTTCTAGTCCCGGTCCAGCTCCAGGATGGAGGATGGTGGATGTAAAGAAGTGTACACAATGCAGGCTGCAACGCTCTGTGTGTGTGTGTATGTGCACTGTGCAGACTGGTAAGAGTGTCTTTGTGCTTGAAGGGGTCATTTTTCTCCTGTTTCTTCAGTCACAGTCAGGGGCAAAGTCCTCTTCACCTTCCTCGCCAGTGTGACTCTGTTTTAGTGGCACAACTCCTTTTCAGGAGACCAAAAGCAGCCCACTAGTGTCCATATCAGTCTCCTGATATATACCAGCATAGCCCAGTGGGTCTGGGGCCTTTCACTGGGGCTGCCTTCTGTTAGGTGTCCCATATGGAAGAGGATCAGAGGGCTGAGGCCAATCTGTGCTCACCTCCAGCCAAGCACATTGACCTCTCTGGGCTGGGACAGTTGATTATCTCTCAGGTACTCTGGCCAGATGTCCCCCTATCCTGCCACAGGGTGAAACATGTTCTTGTCCTGCTGTACATGCTTTTGTTAAATCACCCTTTCTCCTGCCCCAGGTTGGCCCAAGGACTGCAGTGAGGTCTCTGCTGGCAGCCCCAGCGGTGTCTACGTCACCCAGCCCACAGGGCTGCACCCCATTGTGGTGTACTGTGAAATGAATGAGAATGATGGGGGCTGGACGGTCATCCAGAGGAACCGGCAGAGCACAGAGATCACCTGGGCCGAGTCCTGGAACACCTACAAGTACGGCTTTGGGAGTGTGCACGCTGAGTACTGGCTGGGCACCGAGTACATCCATCGGATCTCCCAGCAGAAGGTCTACCAGGTCAGGTTTGTCATCTGGGATGCTGCAACCAACACCAAGTTCGCAGACTACAACCTCTTTAGTGTGGAAGATGAGTCCCACGGCTACCGGCTGAGGCTGGGAGTGTACTCCGGGACCGCAGGGGATGCCATGGACTCAGACAATCCCAGGAATGTACACAACAACATGAAGTTCTCTACAAAAGATCGGGATCAAGACACTTATAGAGGGAACTGTGCCTCCAGATCTGGGGGTGGGTGGTGGTACTCAGCGTGTTACTCCGTACAGCTGAACGTCAAGGGGGGCATAACGTGGGGCAGCCTGTGCAACAAGAACTGCAAAGCTTCTGCCATCCTCATCAAACCAGCTCTGAATCATTAGTACTCTTTCCTCCTCCTGTCTGTGCTGGGCACATGGCCAAACCAGTGCCTTGCTGGGGCCCATTTTGCTGGCTGGGGGCCTGGGGCTGAATAAGGCTTTTCCTGTATATCAAGAGCTGTTTTCTTTTCCTCTTCTCCTGAAAAGTAGCTAAGCTCCCTGCTTTGCCTCTGCCCTTTCACCTGTGGTGGGTTTTTAAGGATCATTATTAGACTAAGTCTTTATAAAGGCTGCAATTTCCAAGCATGTTCCTTCTGGGGAGAAAACTCTGGTCAGAAATGTAAAACCTTCCGGATCTAGCAAGGTCTTATTCTCTTTTTGCTTTGCGAGTTTAGATGACTTCAGCAGAAAAATATCAGCCATCACTAGCTGACCTGATGTAAGCTGCTCTGAGCCCAGGCAGGCCATGTATGACCATATCCCTGCTGTAGTCTCTGTTCATCCTGCAGAATAAAATTGCTTTAAAATCTTGCACAGGCATGTGCAAATGTCCTTCATTTGCTTGGGAACTTCTTGCAACTGCTGCCAGTTTCTTGCCAGGAGCAGACCTGAGGGTCCTGATGCAGTAAGAAAAGACTTTCAAAGGGAAAATTTTTCATAAGATAAAACTGAGGAATTAAAGACAAAACTTTCACTGAGAGAAGAGAATTGGGTTTCAAGGTGGGGATCTTTCAAAAAAGGCAATGCAAGAGCAAGGACTAAGGGCAGGAGGGAAGCATCAGCTCAGTTCAGCCCTACCAGCCATGACCTGGAGCTCACCAGAGACAGCAGGCCAGGCAAGTGTCATCCTGCCTGCTGGCCCAGGCCTTGGGAGGTAACTGGAAGAAAAAAAAGAAAGGGACAACAGCACTGCAAGACCACACTGCACTGCATACACACTGCTTTAAGAGCTGAGGCAGCCTGACATGGCAGGGATCCCAGAATTTCAAGAGGCCTGGGTCAGCTTGGGTCCATATGGGCTTGCTCTAGTGTGGTGATATCTCTGTGAACTGGAGAGTTCAACAGTGGACATGTTACCTGTGGTGTGGTCTCCAAGTGCTGAGCAGAAGCTCAGGTTCTGCTGGTTGCGCTCTTGCTAATACAGCCCAGGATGCAGCTCACCTTCAACGCTGCCAACGTGCATTGCTGACTCCTAGGAAATTCCTGTTTACCAGGAACCCCAAGCCCTTTTCTGTCAAACCTCTCCCCTCCAGTTAGCTTGTACATCCAGGCTGGAGTGTAAAAGACTTTTTAAACCAGCAGACAAACCTCTCAGTCCAGAAACGCTACCCTCAAGTCATCTCAAACTGGGAAGCCTGTCTCAACCATCAGCACCCTCATGCACTCATCTCCCTATGCATCAGGGCTGCAGGGCCACAGATGCCTCCAGGGCAGCCAAGGCTGCCTGTGCAGCCTCTTCAGGAACACGGCACTGCCATAGCTCTGCAGGGTGCTCTGGGACCTCAGTCACAGATCTTGGCCTGAGAGTCCCAATTTGTTCAGGATTCACAGGCACAAGCCTTCCTTAAGCTCAGCTTTTCTTTCCAAGACAGAGGAGAGGAACTGTGGCTTCTTTCAAGTCCTAAGTTCAAACTTCCTTCCATCACAAAGGAGATCCATAGCCACATTCCTCCTCTGCAGCAGAGTACGATGGGACTGACTTACTCATATCTCTCATGCCCTCAGGGAGCCCACCACCCTCCCACACTCCAATCCGTGGTGGTTTCTTCCCTTTACCAGCATAGAGCAACCACCCAGCCATGGACAGGGGCAAACTATGAGCAAGGGTTTTTCAAGATACTGGGCTTTGCTGGCTCTGTTGGCTAATCATAGCCTTACAGCCACAGTTCAGTGCACAATGGCTGGAAGCAGCCATTGGAAGCAAAATTGCATCCAGAGATCTGGGAACAAAACCACAGACAGAATTAGGTACAACAGCTGCACTCAGCTGTGTACAACAACTGTACCAAAGGGATAAAAGCTCAGGGTACAGGCTGATGCGGGGGACCATCAGGAACAGGGAGAACTGGTGTCAGGCCTTTGGCTGTGGAACATTGAAATATCTCAGAAAAAAAAAAGATAATTCAGCACAAAACCCCTGCATGCCACATCAGCTCTGCACCAGCCCGCCCCTGGGAGCAGAATCAGCTCCACAGTTGACCTGGCCCAGCACTGCCTGAGCAAATCATCTTTAAACCAGTAACCACAACACCAGCCCTGGGGGAGGTGAACTCTGCGTGTCCCAGGGACAACTGTCACCCCTTGGGCAGGTGTATCTCCTTGCCCAGGAGAGGACTTGCATAATACACCTATTTTCCTCCAGGTCTACCACCCTGGAGACCGGACAGTGACCCCCCCACGCTTATACGCAGTGTCGCCGCAGCAGGTAGACACAAGGCAGCAAAGTCTGGCTCTGGGGTTTATTGCAGCTGAGTTCTCCTATCGCGGGTGTCAGAGCTGTGGGGTGTACGGAGGGGAGCAGGGTCTGAGCAAAGCAGGGACACGCCGATTGCACAGGGGAGGGAACGTGCACTGTCTCCCCCTCCCCAGGATACCCACCCCAAACCAGTGCCTGCATCCCAGTGCTGGCCGGCACCGCGGCACTGGGCGAAGCTGCCCACATATCCAGGGCTCCGGGTGATTGCTCCTGAGCCCCAGACCCGCTGTGTTTCAGCTGGTGACGGTGCGGCTGAGCTGCAGACAGTGCAGGACGTGCACTGGGGTGGGCACTGAGCTGTTGGCAGGCATGGGAACGAGGCGCTGAGCTGGGGATGGTGGCACTCCCCCAAACTCCTGGGAGGATGGGCGCTGCGGCACGGTCAGCACACGTCTGTGGGTTTGACCAGGATGAGGGAGGATGAACAGTCGCCACTATCGCAGAATCCCGGCCAAAGGATGTGGTTTTTAGCATTGAGCAGGACGTTCTGGCACCTGTCGTACCACCACCCCCCGTAGCTGTTGGCACAGTTCCCGCTGTATTGGTCCTGGTCCTTGTCAGTCGTGCTGAACTTCATGTTGTCGTGTATGCCCCCCTTCTTGGGGTGATAGCTGGTCAGATAGTCATCCCCCTCACCAGAATATCGGCCCAGCCTCAGCGGGTAGCCACTGGCCTCGCTCTCCACCCTGAAGATGTCATATTCGGCGTAATGGGTGACGTTGGCTTTATTCCGCACAATGAAGCGGACCTTGTAGGTGCCCTGCTGCGTCAGCAGGTGCAGGGACTCGGTACCCAGCCAGTGATCGCCCTGCACGTTCCCGAAGCCGTACTTGTAGGTGGTCCAGGATTGCTTCCATGTGATCTCAGTGTCATGAGAGTTTCTCTGGACAACAGTCCAGCCTTTGCCTTCGGTGTCCATGTCGCACCACACCACGCGTGGAGGAGACCCGGCCGGCTGGATGACGTACACCCCGCTGGGGGTGGTCTTGCGGAGATGGCTGCAGTCTGCAGGGAACCCTGCGGTAGCAGCAGTGGCAAGCACAGGGTGAGGCAGGAAAGAAAAGGGTCATGTGAGTCTACCAGGGCAACAAGGAGCTCCTGTAGAGGAGTGAGAACTCAGGACAGAAAGGGCTGGTTTTATCTGTGGTCTACTTCACAGTGTAGAGTGGCTTTTTCACTGGCTCATCCACAGAGCAACCGAAGGCCTTTAAGTCAGTGGCCCTGGTGAGAGCCCTAGGACCTGTTTCTCATGACTTGCTATTTCATTTGGAGCCTTCTAATGCATTTGGCCAAGAAAAGAGGGGAAAAAAGTCTTACAGATGCCAGTGATATCCTCCAAGTATATCTGGCCCTCACACAAGGCCCTTGATATATTAAGCTTCAGCTCTTGCAAGGATCAAAAGTGTCCAAAATGTTCCACTGCATGAGGATATGTAACGAAAATTTATGTTCTCCCTGGGAGTCATGGAATTGCAAAGAAGGCTAAGTTCTAGCTTGATCTCATAGGGATCTCTTCCCTCAGGTTGTTGCAGTTTATCTGTTAGCAGGACTGATCTGTCATGACTGACTTACCAAACTAATTTGCTATCTAATTTGGTTTTCTTGTTTTGTGTCTGATGAGGGACAATTTGCCATGGGTAATTCCAATTCAGTCCACGAAATTCTGTTTTTCTTGGGCACATAGGTCTTGCAGGGAGTGCAACCCTCCCTTGGAGGGAGGAAGGGAATACTCCTAATTCAAGAAGAGATTTTAAAAAAAAAAAAAAAATTGCTGGTAGGATCTCTCCTAGAACTGAAGTATAAAAAGACACAAGCACCGCAGAGCAATCCTGCCAAGCTATGGTGTCTGGGCAGAAACCCCTTGGTTTCAGCATGGAGCCACCAAGGGGGTGAGGATGGCTTGGCTGACGTCAGGCTGCTTACCGTGCAAGCCATGGCCCAGGGGTTTGTGTGAGTAAGGAGTTCTTGTGCTATGCATCAGCCTGGCTGTGTGCTGGCCTTCCTAGCACTTAGGGAGACCCTTTCCTGCTCTGTGCCTTGGTGCCAAGTCAGTGCCCTCCACCCACTCCATACTCACCACTCCGGGAGCTGGCAGTTGGTACTGCTGGGCCAGCGCTTGCGCAGAGGAGAAGCATCGCCACCAGTGTGGATAGGAGGACAAGGTCCCCATGGAGCCAGCTTGTCCCAGCCTGGAGCCCTGGGGAGGAAAGGGCCCAGCACCATTAGGATCCCTGGGCAGCCCCCTCTGTCCCTGCCAACGGCCCCCACGGAGCTCGGACCAGGGAAGGCAGGGCCATGGGGCAAAGGCAGGAGCAGGGGGCTCCTGGGGTGGTGGAAGCTGCAGCTTCAATGCAGGCTCTGCCCCTGCAGGGCTGAAGTAAGGTGAGAGATGACTTTGTCACCCTCCTGAGCAGCCCCTTCCCTGCGGCAACCTGCAGATCTGTTGTCAGAATCTACAGCCCAAGAGTAGCTAACAGAGGATAATGACACAGCTAGATTTGGGAGAGTAGTTTGCCAGGAGGGAGGCATCACGAGAAACTTCTTTTTGGAGTAATCATGCTTAAGCCTTTTATATAAGCCATTCCAGACCAATGGCAAGTAGTGGGAAAACAGATCCAAAGGATGGGTCCTATTGCACAGATACCAGCTCCCAAGCAGACAAGAAGTCTCCTGGGCCCACACAGTGACAGAAACCCAAACTCCCTCTGCTGGCCACCAGCACAGCCTACACCCTGCACTAGCTCATTTACTGGGGGAGATGCCATCATGCGTGGGGAAGGACCCCTGTGCAACCACATGTGCCACATGCATTAGTCAGGAAGAGAAAGGACCAAGTCGAAATTTAGGTCTCGACATTAACCTCCCTTGACAGGACATGGGAGTAGAGGGCATAGGTAGCCTGGGGAAAGCATAGGCTGGCACCAAGCATGTGTGTCGTTTGGTGCTTTGGTCTTGCGTCCCTTCTGCTGCCAGGGTGCCTGGTAGCACGCATCACCCAGGCCAGATCATGGCTGCTGTCCTGCTAATCATATTGTGCCTTTGTATACTCACCCCAGTCAGGTCTTGTTTGAGCCCAGCACCACGCATGAATGCAGTGTGCCGCTGGGAAGATAACTCACCCATCACAACAGCACGGCTGAGCAGAGAGCAGGAACCCAGTGGTGCACCCTCCCACGCCGAGCTTTCCACAGTGACTTTATAGGGACTGCACACACCCACTCGTGTTCACGCGTGTTATTTGTAGAGGCACAAGGAGGCACTTGCAGACTGTGACTCGAACAGTTTTCTGCTCCCATGACAGCACAACTAAAGCCCTGGAGGGGAGGGAGGCACACCCTTCCAGCCAGAGAAGTACAAAATAATCCCCTCCATTATGAGGGTTTTCAATTATTGACTCTCCCAGCTACACAAACACTACATGTGAGTAGCTCACTTGGAGCAAATTCTGGAGAGCCATGATCAAACTGAAGTGGAGGGACGCATATTTTTAAGGACATACATGCAGAAACTAGCAAACGAGGAGAGATTAGGTCTCCTATTTGCCCAGTCCAAAAGGTGACCTTGGAAAGGTGAGGACAGGTCCTCAAGAGACATGCTTGCTTGCTAACTCTCTGCTGGCAGGTTTCAGGATCAATGAGTTAAGTCATTGGGCTGGAACCAATGCCCAGCAGCCAGAAGTCATTGTATACACAGTGTCCTCTGGCACCGCAATCCATGTGCTCTGAGTAGAGGGCAAGGGCTCCAGGTTACAAACTGTGGGTCCCTTTGCCAATCTCCTTCCCAATCCCTGTCTTTGGCATGGTGAGACCCTGCAAATCCCCCCCAGCCTCAGCAAAGTCAACCAGTGGTTGCCCCCTCTACAGGAGCAAAATGTTCTCAGGACTGATTGTTTGGGAGGGCTGTTCTTCGAGCCAGAAGGTGCAGACAGCTCCATCACTTTGTCGAGCCAATTTTGAGAGGATAAAAATGTGGCCCCTCTACTTTCCCCTCCTGTGTTGGTTTCAGTAGCCTACTGACCAGATATCTTCTTCATGGCACAGTTTTAAACCTGTTGTTCACAGCAAGCCAGTGTCAAGCTGAGGCTCCCACCAAACTTGCCATACTGCAGGAGACCATATCAAACAGTGCAACTTGCAGGTCTGGATGGATAGTGACATCCAGACCTCTCCAAGGTAAGAGATCCCTGGATCAACTTCCATTTGAACCCTTAGATCTCACCCCTGCTTGCTTGGTTAGAGGTTGGGAGCCCTTGTCTGCAATCTCATTTAGTTTGGGAGAATCACAAAAGCAGCACTCTCAAGCCCATGGAGGGAGGAGCACCCCAGCTGCCCTGGGAAGAAGGACCTCAGGCAGAGGGGCCATGTCCCCTTTCCGTGGAGGCAGGAGAAGTGGGTGACTTAGGGGCTCCTGTGGGCTGCTCCCAGAACTTACGTCAGTGCTGAGCAGTGCAATGCCTTGGGGAGTGGTGGGGTGCCTGTGCCAGGGCTGGCGGGCAGGCTGCTGGCTGCTGCTGGCGAGCCACCATGGGAATCACTGCTGGCACCGGGCCTGCCAGATACAGAGGGAACATGGGCCCCGCAGGCCATGGAGAGGAAGTCCTCCCCTGCCCCTGTGTACAGCAGGCTTCACGGGGCTGCTCGGAATAGATGCAAATGGTATTTCCTTCAAAGAAACAACGTGTCAACAGGACAGCTTATTTGCAGTCCAGTGGAGACCTGGGCTTTGACTTTAGCTCAAACATTCCAGTGGATGGTGTCTTCAAAGCTATCAAACAAAGGTCTTCTAAATTACGCTGATGTGGGACTTCTTTCTGAGAAGACAGCTGCAAGAGGACCTCTGAGCGGATACAGTTCGGAAGCAGAGCTGCGGACAACAACCAGTGGTTGCTCTCCAGAGAGGCAGGGCTGGGGGCACCGTGCAGGACTCGTCCCCTCCAGGGAGGAGAAGGAAGGCGTGAGCCGGCTCTCTGGGAGCAGCAAAGGCTGGCTGCTCCCTGCAGGCAGGCGGCTCAGAAGCCAAGGGTGAGCCCTGAGGGGGCAATACCCTTGCTGGTGGGGCTCTGTCCTGCCAGGTCTGAGCACAGCAAGCAGACCTGGGTGTTGGCAACAGCTCCAGGGAAGGCAAGCAGTGAACTGGGTCCAAGATGCTGGACAAAAGGACACAGTGGAAAAGGCAGGGCTGGAGACAAGCTACAACATGGATCTGATCGGTCCAGCCAGGAAATAAACTATCCACAGAGTAGGTCTGAGATTCATCCAGAAAAGAAGGCAAGAGAGGGGACTGGAGACCAGTGCTCACACGGTGTGGCTCAGGTTAGGGCTGGAGGCCCAGGGCTGAGCTGAAGCAGCCTCCTTGGGCCCAGGGGAAGGTCCCAAGTGGGACTGGTCACCAGCCATTACTCAGGGCCATGACAGAAGCAGTTAATCCTGAAAGAACAAATGACACTGGCCTGGCTGGGAGCACGGGTCTGTCATGCTCTGCAGGCCCTCAGGCTCTCGTTATAGCTCTTTGGGCTGACAAAGTGGCTTCTGAAGGCACGTTCTGCTGTGGTCTGCTCTGCATCTTGCACAAGGTGCGGTGCCATGGCAGTGCTCCTGCAGAAGCACAGAGGCTGGGGAGATGGGTCTTCAGAGAACTGGAGAAACACAGGGTGACGGTGACCTCCAAATGTCTCTGGTCTGATCTTGAGGCCAAAGCAGGGACAACTTAGAATGGGTTGCTTAGGGTCATGTCTAGGTCAGTTGTGAATATGTCAAGGAATGGAAGTCTCAAAACTTCTCTTTTTCTTTCAGTCTTTGAACACCCTCAGGCTGAAAATTTTTTTATCTAATTCTAATTTCCCTCCCTTCCCTTATGTCCATTGTCTACCATCCTCTCCTGTGCACCTCCAAGGAGAGTCTAAGAATCATAGGGTGATAGAATAATTTAGGTTAGGAGGGACCTCTGAAGGCCATCTAGTCCAACCTCTGCCCAAAGCAGATCTAAAAAATTAGGTCCTGTTCACATACATCATGGCTCCTGCCTCGACTGTCTTGGTGATCTTAGCTGGACTCCTTCTGGAGTTTTAGTTGCTGTTGTGCATAGAAGAGTCCCACACAGGACACAGCACTCCAGCCATCATCTCACACGTGGGAGTGAATAATCCCTTCCCTCACCCTCCTGGCTGCATTTTTCCAGATGCAGCCCAGGGTGCAGCAATAAACAGATCTGTGCCACAACTGTGGCTATTTCAATATCAAACATGCACCAAGCAGGAGCTGGGCCCCAGGACACAGCTGGGGTTTTAGAGAAATGCCCTCTATGGCCTTCCCCCTGCCTGTCTTGCACATCCTAACCCAAATACTGGACATAGCCTCCTGGAAAAGCTGGCTGGGGACTGGAAGTTGTTGGTGAACCTCTACTGAGGGTTGCTGCCTGCCTTTGCTTTTGCATCTGCTGTTGAGCAGAAGCAGCAGCCCAGCAGGGCATGCACAGGAGCCTCCATGACCAGGCAGCCATGCTGCAAGTGAACAGCCTGTGACAAAAGCCCAGCCTGCTCCTCCACAGGCTCTGGAGTCTTGTGCTGTCCAGCACAAAGTGGATGCTGGGGTACAGGAGCCCTCATAAGTCAGAATACTGTGGGTATCAATCCCTAGGAGAAGGATAGTCTGACATTTTCTCTAAGAAATCCATGGTTTAAGCACTCCTAGTAGCAGAGAGGGGCTTGAAGTGAGACCATTTTACGTCAGTGTCACGTCACGGTTCCTAGAACTTCCTTGTGACTGCTGCAAGGGCCAGGGAGACCACAGTGCACATTGCACAAGAGGCAACATGGTGGTGGCAGGGCAGGCACGTCAGGAGGTACCTGGAGTGGCACTTTCTGAAGTCCAGTGCACAATTTGCCAGGAACACTAGAGTACCTCTCTTCCCTGAAGGGTCTAATGGGATCTCCAGTGGCTGCTGGGCTCCACGCCTGCTCTGGAGAGAGCGATTTACGCCTGATGTTTGATTTCCGTCCAGGAGAGGGAATGTCATCCGGGTATTTACTTATGAGTTGAAATGCACAGAGGTGCCCAGAGGATGCCGTTCTCTGGGGAAACCCTGCCAGGGCAGGGTGGCAGCCAGGCACTGTAAATTGTGGTTGGTTTAAGGCATTCGTTTATTGGCACTAAATTATTTGCGTTGCCTCTGAAGAAAGCTCTTCACCTTTGTGAGACACAGCCTCCATTGTCTGAGGACATATCACTTAATGATGAAGAGCAAATAAACCACTAGTCCCGTTGCCAACCAGAGAATAAGTGCTGGGGTCTGGGTCTCGTGCCTCCACCCCCTCACCTGCTGAGCCCTATAACTTCCAGGCGGGACACCCCTCCAGCCAGGCCAAACCAGCTCGACTTCCCACTCCGCAGGGTCCCCGCAGAGACAGCATGGGTGAGTGTGGGACAGGATGGGAGGGGATGGCACCGCTGCGTGTGGCTGTGGGTCACAGGGCATCCTGGTGCTTTATCTTCTGCAGGACCCCCTGCTCCCCACACCCCAGCCAGACCAGCGCTAAGGCCGTTACATTGTCTGGCTCGCTGTGCCTTGGGCTGGGAACTGGAGCAGGAGCCTGCAGGTTCTGCCGTTTTCAGGCTATACAGCGTAGCCCTGGCATGCCAGATAGCCCATTTCACGAGCCTCATATTTACTGAACTTTCTTTGTAATTTTCAGTTCCGGAAGGAAAGCATTAAATACCTTAGAATAGAAAACAGGTATTTTAGATGTTCTTGCTTAAGGATTGATATTGAGCAGGTATCAAGATCTAGATGCTCGAAAGCACATTAGTGTTCCCAGAACACCCAGGAGAGACTGATCCTTTCCCCTGCATCTCCTTCTTACCCAGACCTTTCATGACCATTCATAGGGGAATGGGCCAGGAGCAGAGGGAGCATCGCCTCTCTGGTGGCCTAAAGGAGAGATGTCTTTACACATGCTTCTAAACACAACAAAACACTAAATGTTATGTAGGAATTAAGAAGCAAATCAGCTGGACTGAAGTGTGTTTAAAAGACCTTTGCTGTAAAACTGCAACCAGCACAAATGATTGGGAAGGCCCTGGGCATTCCCAGAAAGGGCTGCTTGTCTCTAGGGTGGCTGCAATCGCACACAGCAGTTCCGTGCCTGCATCACTGATTGTTTTCCTTCTCCATCATCTCAGGAACGTTGCCAAACCCAGGTATCCCAGGGCAGTACAATAGGTTTGGGTCTGCTCCTTTTCAAACAGTGGAGGGATCACATTGGCAATCTATCAGAGTCAGCTATGTCTATCATATCGTGAACAGATTTCCCCATGGGCAGGTGTCTCCACAATGCCCCTCTCTCTAGGAATCATGATAAACTTTCTATTATTTTATTTAGATTTAATATTTCAAAAAGTGTGCTGGTTTCCCTGGCTGCTCTGAACAAGAACAAAGCAGAGGAGCTGGCTACAGATGGAAATTTGGAACGAGTCATATAACCAGCTAAAGGACATAATTTGTACCAGCCAGTAATTACCAGGCAGTAATTCCTAAAAGTTCATTCTGTCCCTCTTAGCCATGCTGCTTTCTAGGGCTTGTTCCTACTGAGACACCTGAGTTCTTACTGCCCACAAACCTGGACTGGAGGTAAGTGTAGTGCCAGCTTACACTGTGTGAGTGCGTCACTGGAGCGTGGTGGGAGCTGGGAGGAAAGGGGATTCCTTCCTCTATGCTCGCCCTGCTTGTCATCTCCAGCCCAAAACTTGTTTTTCACAAGGATTTCTGATTACAGTCATTTTGGGTTTGGACAAGGCTTTAGCACTTCTTGTGTCTCAAAAACCACGAGCAGCAGGTGCCACTGCTAATGACTCCTGCCAATGAGTATGTGACAGCTCATCTAAATGAGTGACTCGGGACTTTTGGCTCCAAGAGGGAGCTCTACACATAAGGAATTTTATTTTCCTACTTGACTCTGCAAGTAAAGGAGTCAAATGGGATTCATGGCTCTCTAATGGAAGAGTTACAATCTATTTGTTCTTTTTCCAATCTCTTCCCATTTCAGCTACCAAATGCCTTTATCTCCCGCTTTTCACCTGCCTGCTGGCCCTGGCAGCATCTCTTCCTGCCTTTGACATAAAAAACTTGCATCTCCTCAATGGCACGCTGGATGAAATTATGAATGTTCCCCCAGAGTCCTCCCAGCTCGGTGAGTATATCACTACAACAGGGAGAGGCAAACAAGGTCACATTCAGTCAGATCCTACGCAGGCCTCCTCAACAGTGTAACTACACCCCTGTAACATAGAGGAAGGACTAAATACTGCTGTATGTGTTGCCAATGCCAATGCAATGTAGGCCATCTTACCAGAACAAGAATCATCTCAGAGTCCTCCTCTGCTTGCTGCCTGTCTCTTCTCCTGTCTGGCACGAAGTTCTTCTGTCCATAAGTGAGTCTGATAGCACAAAGCCCAGAGTTCACAGGATCCCAGGAGAGGGGACAGGTTCAGTCTCATTGGCAGCAAGACCAAGTCGAGGGTGTTGAGGGCCACGGGCTCTTGCTTGGAGAAACAGTGTTAAAGATGTTAAGGCACACAATCGCAATGTGTTTTGAGGACATGGGGAACAGCAGCCACCTCTGGAAATCACAAGGTCACTGGAGAAATGAATTCAAGAGAGAAGCAAATACAAAGAGGAACTAAGTGGAGTTAATAGAAAGAGTCTAAGCAGTGGCACGAACACAGAGCAATCAGCCAGATGATGGCACAGAGTAACCTGCAAATACCAGGGTATATAGGAGCAGTGAGGAAGCCTCCAAGAAATGCTCCTGGGATAAAACTGGGGGCTGTGGGTGAGAAATGGCACAACAGAAAGAGGTGGTTCCCTTACGAGGGAGAAGGAAGAGTTCTTGGCAGAAGAGCTCAAGGTCCCAGTGTTTGATACTGGTTTCTCATCAGCCTCACTGCAAAGGTCAGCTGTCAAGAAACTGCCAGCACAGGGAGCACTCGTGACTGAGACAACAGCTCGGGCTTCACCGAGAACTGCAATTCCGAGTAGAGAGGGTGTGCTCTGGGCTTCACACTCATCTCCCACCCAGACCACTGGTTGGGTGCTCTGAATACGAGCAGCATGAATGCAAGATGGGTAAGCAGGGAGGCATGCCAGAGAAGACAAGCTAACATCCAAAAGTCTTGACTTGTGCAGGAGCGCCTCCAGATGGATGGGAAGTGAAGGCAGAAAGGAGCAGGGGCAGGCTGTGACTTACAAAATGAGCACAAGTGAACAGCTTCATATGGCTGTAGTGAAAGTAAATACCATCATAGGAAAGTTATCTGCCAGTAACAGACCACATTACATGAGTGTTTCCCACTCTGCACAGGCTCAGGCCAACCACACGTTCACTGGTGGGCTTTGATACACATTTGGAAAGGGGTCAAAAATCTGTCAGGTAGAGTGTGTCAGGGAAGGCTGAAGAGCTGAATGGTTTAGCCTCAAAATCAGAAGAGTGTGGAGGAGGAAGTGATAGCAATATTACAGTCTGTCTGCAGGAAAAAGGGTACTGTGAGTGTCGTAAGAGGAGGAATGGGCTTATGCACAGCTCAAGAGGCTGAAGTTCAACACTTCATAAGGGAAGGAACAGGAAAGCACCAGCTGAGAGTGAAAGCAGGGAGCAGATATTTGAGGAGGTCAGAGAGCAGGGGCTGCAGAGTTAGGCATCTTTTTCAGAGAAGGGACAGGAATGGCTTTTGTGATTCCATAAGCCTATGCTCCATTCCGCTGTTTTATAGTCACCAGTGGCTACACAGAAGATGTCCTTTCAGAAAAATTACACTAATTCACTCTAAATTGAAGAGTGAATCCTCTCTTCCAGCAACACCCTTCAAATTCCCTTCTGATCCAGCTAAGCAGAGCCCCTCTCCCAGCTTCTGATATCTGCACCAGTTTTCCTGTGTCTGCTCTCACGTTTCTTCCCCCTCTAATCCTTCCTTTTCCTGAGTCCCTTCCTAACTGCTTCTATGCACTTTAACAACCATCTTTCCAGTGTTGCCACCACCATTCAGGGTCTTCTCCCCTCACAGTGTGCCCAAATCCTTTTCACCAAGGAAGCATCTGCCCCATTCTAAGACCACATAAATTCCCCTGAACTGCCAACTGGCTGATATCTGAAATGGTAAAGTCCCTCTGGAATTAGGAGCAACAGCAGAAAAACAGTAATATCATCTGGAACAGATCATGCTCTCCTAGAAGGCATTTGACATATCTACTCTCAACACTCACTCCTGTCTCCTCTGTTCTTGTTAATTCAGATGATGATGGCAAACATGTTCGACAGGTCAGAGACATTGCCCACCACCCACCAGTGGGCCATGGTAAGTCTCTTCTCAAGGAGAACATCTGCTCATAAGGTTTCACCATTGCTGGGCTCATGAAGAACTCTTAGCCACCTTAGCCCATGTCCTCATACGCACTGGCTCTGCCCAGAAAAAAATTATTTTCTCATAGACTGCAGAGGTGTCGCAGCTCATAGCCTTGGGAGGACTCTATTACCAGCCATGTCCTGGCATCAGTAGTTGATGAGGATCTTTAGCATGGGGAATTTTCCACCTAAAGATCCGAAGTGGAAAGTGACGATTCGTTATTGGCCTTTGGGAAGTGGTTGTTGGTTATTTTCCTGTTTTCACTATACAGTTGATGAGAAGACTGGGTAAGACAGGGACTGACTGTGTTACTGAACTGACTGAATCAACATTAGCCCATAGGACCACAGACAGGTCCTATCTGGATAGGAATAACCAGTAGCAGAGGTACTGGGAGCAGAGCAAGTCCCTTCGAAGAAGTGTGTAGGTGCATTCAGCTGTTGTATAAGGTGCTGACGCTGGAGCATAGAAAGGCCATAATCAAATTAAACAATTCAGGAAATCTCTAAAGAGCTGCTGGGGTAAGCCCAGAGAAAAACAATGGATTTGCCCTGTTGAGATCACAAGGGTTGATTTAATTATTAGCAGTACGAATGTCTTGAGGACACTGTCTCCAGGGATTCTGAGATTACTACAAAGCTCTAAAGTGTCCATGCTGTAACAGCAAACAGCTTTATAACCCCGATTTGATACATCACCTGTATGCTACAGGCGAATCACCACAGCACTACAAGACTGAATCCAGCCTTGGCTAGGGTGCATTTGTGCTGGGTGAAAGCAACGTCTGGTTGGTCTCACCAGGCCAAGACACATT